TTTCCCTCTCTCTCCCTTTCTCTCTCCACTCCTTCAGCGACAGCACCCCAGCGAAAGCAAATAAAAGCCCCTCGCCTCCACCAGATGGATCTCCCATCACCAGCCCTGAGACCAAGACTGTCAACCATGAGCTGGAACCGTCCACTTTGGAAGCACCTGGGGCAAGCATCCCAAAGTCACCTTCTCAGGTAGTGTCCCGATGGCAATGACTGTATCTCTACGGTACGACTGCTGATGGCAGAGGCTCCATGAGTCAAAGGCATCCATCAGTTGGTTTTTTTGGACCTCTTCCTGCTACCAGGCACAGAGAATGTGACATGGCAGTTGTTCTCCTTCACTGGTTCTTGAGAGGTTCCTGAGAATGCAAGTTGCTCATCAGTCTTCTCTGTATCATATAGGGAAGAACTAAGCTGTCTCTGAATGCCTCTACAGGGGGGGAAGGCCAGTAATACGTTTTCCTCTGTGATAGCATGGCCAGAAAGATCCATGGAGGATGGAGTTGTAGCTAGGTGATGAAGTTTATTCTTTACATTTGAATGAACCTGTGGACTTCAATGGTCCAATTTCTTCTCAAGAACTTCTGTAACTGAGGAGAGTTCAAAGAAAAAGTTTAATATTGGTAAGAATATGGAGAACATCTGTAGTTTGCATGATGTCTTTAATCCCAAGATAAAATACTAAGTTAAAAATAAAGGCATTTTATTCTAATGCTGTGAAGAACTTAGGTGGGTACCAAGAAGATGACTGTCCGTTATATGGAGTCTGATACCTTCCATATGGCCTTTGTTAGTCCTTTCCTTACACAGGAGGTACCCAGTGGCACATGTAAAGTAGCAGTTGTAGCTCCCACTACTCAGCCTATCATATATGTTTTACTTCGGGATTTAAGGAAAATAAAACATTTACTTCCTCTTCCCATCCCTCTGTTGCTGAGTGGGGGAAAAGCTTAGCAGGGAAAAGTAGTAACTAGGCAAAATTTATGTCTAGTGCCAATCCTTGCATTTCAGTAAGTGGGACACCAGGGTGGAGTTTTCCAGGAAGAATTAAAGCTGAGAGGGGTTCTGGCCAAACTGGTAAGAGAACCTGTTGCTTCTGAGAAGAGACAGGTGCAACCCGTAACTTCCTTGCTATTGTCATATGTAGCGGTATGATTCCAAATCTAGGCCTGTGGTGTAGGCTGTCTCCCATTTCTGGATGGCCTCTCACAATATTTTTCTCCCCACTGCATTTATTTTCAGGATTATCTAGGGACAGAAAGGAGATGTTTCTACATTGACGAAAGGGTCTTTTCCAGCACTGTGAGATGTGTGGATGCCTGGCAGTACCTTTTCAGGACTTCTCTAGGGTCTCTGCACTGCTTAGCATTGCAAAGCCTAGGGTGGCTTCACCGCCACCCTAGCTAGGACCTTGGAGTAGAGTATGTGTATGGGCAAGAGAGGATAGTGCATCCAGAATTGCCTTCCTGTTTTTTTCAGAGGTTGCCGTAACTGAGATTTGGAACGAGAAATCGTACAGCTTTATTGAGCTGTTCACTGCAGACTTCACTCACCCTGCCTATGGACTTGTCTTGCTGAGTTTGGCTTCATCTCTTTCCTCTAAATAGCACATGAGCCTTGTTTTTGCCAGCCTGCAAGTGCTTTCTTGTTCACTTGCTGCCTTCCTGCCCACAGGAATGGGGCTGGAGGCACCACTTGTCAAGGAAGCACAATATTCCAGTGCAGCCCTGGCTGGGACCGCAAATGGGCCACAGGCAAGACTGAAATAGTATTTGCAGCTAATGCTGCCACCACCTGGCAGCGCTTTTCCAATCTATATTAAATGCCTTCTTGGCCTCACTGCAGTGAAGAACAAGAGCTCCACTCCATATTTGTACTAGGTGCTAAGAGACAGAGCTGGCTCCAGAGGGTGTGGAGACAAAGACAGGGGTTTCATACTCCTGGTGTGGATAAAGTCTAGAAACTAAGTGTGTCACCAGCTGGGTGACACCAGCCAGCTGGGAAACACAAGTGTCTACTCTCTCAACAGTGCTCGACTTTAATATTGAAATTGTCACAGGGGTCTTACTTTTGACCGATGGGTAAGTGATTTGTTCTAGGGTCCTCCTAGGGAGGCTAGGGCACTCATCCTCTGGGGGAGGATGGAGCACAAAGCAACAAGCAAGTACAATTCTCTGGCCTCTTCCTGTCTGAAATATTAATGTAAACCATAAGCAAAGGCTGTGGAGAGAAAGACAGCAAAACAGGAGAGACCAAATAAATGCTAATTAAATTTTGAACTGTTCCCTCTGCCAAAAAAAATAGCTCTTTTATTCTTAACTGTGCTTTAATTCTCAAAGCCAGCTTATTTCTGTCTTTTGGAAGAAGTGACTGCTATCAGCTCTCTGCACTGAGTAATTTGATGATGACACAGAGCTTTAGGGGACTGTGAAATTTCAAAGGTCAGACTTTTGCTCTCAGTTACACCACTGAAACACTGCAGTGACACTTTTGAAATGAGTGCAACTGTGTTGAATTTAGACAGGTAAAGCTCTGTGGGATCCAAGTCAGCAGAAAAATTTTAGAGGATTTGTTTTATTCTAGGCAGCAAAGTTGTTCGTACGTGATTTTCAGGTATAACCCAACATCAATATGCAATCCTGTTGTCTTTGAAATGCGGTTTTAGACTGCTGTTGGAGGTAGTTCTGGACACTGTGGAAGTGGTAGTCTTCAAGATGCTAATGCGCTGGAAGGAAGGAGACTGACTATTTTAGAGTAATAAATAGCAGAAAGGTTGGGATCTTTTTGACTTTAAAGTTTGTAATTGGACCCTCCCATTTCTGCAGGTGGTGGCTCTGTTCTGAGAATAGCTTTTCCCTGAAATTTGTGGTCCCTTCGTGAGACTGGCAAGCAGAGGATTTTCAGGAAGGGATTGTTCACAGGGAATATAGACACACCACCTTCTGCAAACAGTGAAGATTTGGAAGCGAACACACTACGTTCCTTATTTCCTCTAGACAGCTATTCAGTGGAAAATGTGTGTCTGCATGCTCACTCACACTCTCTAAAGTAGGTTAACCCAGTATAAAACTGGGCATATCCTTAGCAATCTGAGTAAATGCCTTGTAGATCTCAGTTATATGCCGAAGAGGAGGGTGAACACAGGACTAGGAGCTGGGGGTTGCTGTGTTTCAGATCTGGAGCTGACACTGATATACTGGATGCCCCTTGCCAGGCCTTGGGGTCCTAGGTATAATGAGAAGATCAAGTAACTGTAAAATGTCACTGTAGATGGAAAGCATTGTCATTGCTGAGCATTGCTGTCGTGCTGGGAACTTGTAGGGCGGCTTTGTTCCAACACAGCAGCAGCTCCTCAAAGTTTGATTTGATCTAGAAACAATCACTGAGCCTTGGGCACAGGAAAATGTGAAAAGGATGTGGATGCGTTGATCTAGGGATGATCTATCACAGCTTCCCACGGGGTTGTGGATGCGAGTCTTTAACATGATGGTGGATATCAGGATGGGTTAGAGTTAGAAGGCCAGACTTTGTTATGTGTTCTCTGGGATATCCCTTTGGGAAACACAACTTCGTTAATGTCAATGCTCATTGGTGAAACTGAGAGCAGAGCTGGGCCCACAGCAGTCATGGCTTCTCAGGAATCATTCCTGCCTGAAGCTGAGAAGTGTTAAGATGTCATCAAGAGCTCCTTCAGACCTGTGTTATGGTACACTGGTAACCAGTGCACCAGGGAATCAGTACTGGGCAGCTCAGAGTCTGTCCTTGTGATCACCTACCCATAATAGGGCAAATTGAGTCTGATCTCTCATTCCCTTAAGTGTGGTAAGTATGGCAAAGGGAGGCAGTGCTGGCCTGGTCTATTGAATTGTGTTCTCAGTAATTGATCTGCTCCCTTCCCAGTGGTTCTTTTGAAGGTTGCACATGCTTTAATTATGTATGCATGTCCTGTCAATGCATATTAATTGCGTTACGCTTCTCCTCTGCAGAGGGAAACTTGCCCACAGCTGAAGTGTAACTAATGATGCCAAACCTTCTCTGGAGGCGTGTGGTTGGTTTTTTTTTGTTTTTGTTTCAATTTGCCCTTCACCCTCCCTCCCTTTCTCTTCAGATGGAGTTGACTGGACCCTGCTCTGTGCCTGTGGTTGTGGTTTCCTCCACCTTCAATTTTTGTGGCTAACCTGGTTCCTGTCTCTGGTTTTTTTGGGTGTCGCCGTCTGTGCTGTGGCCGTGTGCTCACTTGCATGCAGTTGAGGAAAGGGCCTCCGGTGCCTCCACCACCAAAAGTCACCCCCTCCAAGGAGATCAAGCAGGAGAACATCATCAGTCTGTTTGATGACAATTTTGTCCCTGAGATAAGTGTGACAACCCCTTCGCAGGTTAGCTGCTATGCCCTGCCTTATATTTTTCTGCCTCTGAACTTTTCCTTTTGACTTTTCTTCTCTTTGGAGGTGTCAAGCCATGAAACCTGGTCAGGTGAAGGAGGAAGGCAAGCTCAGCATTGAACCTCAGAAGGCAAAGCGTTGGACAGGAGGCTAACTTAGACGGGAGGGTGGCTAGAAGGCAGCTTTGACTAGCACATTGCTCTTTGAGCGCTTTCATTCGTAGAAGAAACGGGCGAAATGTGATGCCAGAAAGTAATCACTGCATTTGTTCAGCAGCAATGCACATGGATTATGGCTCCCCTCATATCCCATGATGTGTTCTCTCAAGACCCACTGATCCTGGCTGTGGATTAAGCATGTGTTTTCTGCTCTTGCACATACCCAAGTGCTGACCCTGGCATCTGTGCCAGTTCTGGGAGAAGGCAGTTTTGTGCTCTCTGTGGCTTCACACATTTGCTTTGTGGTTTGAAGCCCACACCTGTACAGGAAAGGCCAACAGGAGTTTCATGAAGTTCTCTGCAGAGACCAGGTGCCTCCAGTTTAGATGGGCAGGACTGTCACTGCTGTCACTCTTCATCAGCCAGCGGTTCCCATCAGAATATTTCTTTCTTGTCACATGGCACCTTTTGAAGCCCTGAAAAAGAAAAAACATTTTCAAATTACATATTTTCCTCTCCACTTTCCTTTTAATGTAACTGCAAGAGAGGATGCCCAAGTAGGGAATTCTGTGTTGGATCTAGGAGAATGGCAATCCTTATGTATATAGGAGCCTGACCAGATTTCTGGCTGTATCATGGGATACCTGTATCCACTTTTTTATTATATATATACCTATATATATATATTTTTTTTTTCCCCTAAATGCTTGTTAAAGCACAAGTAATGTCTCTATCGGTGCTCATCTGTGACTCATTCCTTAAATTTTCCTTGCATCATGCTGCTCCGTTGCCTCTGGTTTGCCACCTTCTGCTCAGCTGCTGAGGAGCAGAGGTGGAGTGGGGAGGGAAGGAAGTCTTGTCGGATTTTGCATTGCAATAGATGAAGCTTCTAGAGCAGAGGGATGATTTGACAACGGTGTTGGAAGGTGGGGCACCATAGGCAGCTGAGCAGCTCTCTACCATTTCCTGTTCTTCTTTTTCCTGTTTCATAATTGATAACTCTCTCTGGTTTATATCATGTATTTCCATGTGATTGCCAGCCCTTAGTCAGACACACTGTTCCGCATCTGATCAGTGCTCTGACCCAGGGTGAGATCTGCTGTGACTTTCAATCAGATGGGAGTTCTGAGGGAGGACTCTGGTTGCCAGAACAATCATCACTGAAGCACCCAACAGCCACTAGTGTTCAGTGTGTTACCCAGGGCCATTCCTGTCAGATGTCTTAGCTCCAATGAGCTCTCTTGTGGGAGATCTGGGTAAAGGCAAGGGGTGCTGGCCCTTGCATGTAAGTCTTGAATGGCAGGTAAGATTATTCCATGACTGGAGCCTTTGATGTCTCACTGACAAACAAAACTAAAGATTGGGGCTGGAGCCTCTCTGATGGACAGCCTTGACGTGCTGCAAGAGCGTACTAGAATGCCAGTTGGTTTTTGCATATTGCTCAGGGTTTATTGGTGTGGGATGGTAGAGTTTGGTTCCTTATCCTCATCCCTATGGATCTCAAAAAGAGATATTCATAAGGAAGAGAAAAATCTGTAAGAGAATCGGAGTAGGAGGAACCTAGAGGAGGTGAAAATGACGGTGGTGTAGGTTGTATTCAGCGTACTTCTCTTAAATGGTGTCTCTTGCTACTTTGCAGGAGTTTTTCCACTGTGGGGCTATGATACAACTGTGGAGACCAACCTGCCACATTTTGTGTGTTGCTGGAAAGGTAGCTGAAGCAGTAGGCCCAGTGAGCTGGGAGGTCAGTGGAATAAGGGGCAGATCTTCCTGGACTTCCTGGAGAGAGCAGCTTCCTCTGAAGTAGAGTAGGAAGGAATGTCTTGTCGTTAGGTTAAATCTAAAACCAAAAGTGATAGTTCAGTTTTGAATACTGATGACTCATGTTCTTTGTAGTGATTGTTTTATTAATGGTAATCAGCAAATGTGCCATCATTATCTTTAGCCAGAACGATAATCCATCAAAAGGAGTTATTCTGCTGACTTTGAAGAGAGTAGCAAAGCTTCTCAAATTTTTGCTTTGTTAGAAGACTTGTGTGTGCACATTTCTGGGATGTCCAGAGATGAAAACTATCTGAAAACAGCGTTTTTGGGCTGGGGAGTGGGTGATTCAAATGCCTTAGCTAGGGTGAGCTGCCATGTTCTGTGTTTCTGTCTTAGAAGGCAGGAGGGAACTGGGAATACCTCAGAGGTCTCTCAGACTTGCCTTCCAGCAGTTTGAGTGTTTTTTCTGCCTGGATCCGTGTTCCTGAGGTAAGCTGTATGGATGGTACCTCTTCTGGACGTGGCTGAGGGAGTCTGTCTTGGGCCTTCACTACAAAGGCAGCTGGATGAGCTATGGTGAATAGATATAAATAGAAGCCCTTCTGAGCCACCAGTGGCACTGATTGTTTTGACCACAGCATGTCATGGGGTTACACTGTCAGCTCATTTGGCCAGCTGAGGAAGATAAGTAAGTCCTGTGGAACAAGCTCAGGTTTGGTTTACAGTGGCATCCGTGCAAACTACGCGTGATTATAAGCACCAAGCAGTCAGGAGTCACGTCAGGTGTTTGCGTTGGCACCATGTCCTCTGCGCTTGCAGCCTTAGCTCCTGAATATCACATACGCTCCCTCTATTGTGCGTGTGTGCGTGTCTAATGCTCCTACTGCTTTTCTTCCTCACTGCTGCCAAGTTTGATGCTCCTGGGCCCTTCCAGGAGGGAGCCAGCCTGTTGGATCTGGATTTTGATCCCATTAAGCCAGATGCCACTGTGGGGAAGACCCCCACACCTGCCTCCCAGGTTGGTTCATATCACCTTTCCTTTTCTGTTCGTAACATAACTTGCACCCACATGAATGATTATGTGGACCTGAGCTGTGGGTGGCTGGGCTGGGTGCCCAGACCTGTGCCTTGCAGATGGACACTTTGGTCTTGTCTGCAGGGTGTGTAAGTCCAGTGAGAATCAGGTGGCTATTAGCCTGCCACAGTCTGGCACTAGGTGTTTGTGGCATGTTTGTAATTTGCTCTGATCTGCTGATTGACAACTCATTCAACTTAATGTATGCCCCTCCCTAGATTAGCATCCTGTGTATGTTATATGGATTTAAACTGTTACTCTGTGGATGGGAATTCAGCCTCAGTTCTGTGCTCCTGCTATAAATTGCTCTCAAAGGGATTTTTAATAAACAGACACTCTGAGAATCTGCACTTATTTAAGGTGAATAAAGCTGTAGATGGATATTCAAGTGATGTGAAGCCCTTCTTATTCTGGGTATAACAGCCTCTGTTTATAGTTAAGAAGCAGCTTCCTCCCTGAACATAGTGCTGCACAGTGTGGTATCAAACAGGAAGATGCCTAATTCTGTTCTGGCCTGTACCTGGTCCTGTCTGCTGTCAGAGGCAGGTGGACTGTGCTTCATTTGATGTCAGTGGCTGGAAGCTTTGAAGTGCTTCCTGAATTTGGCTATTGTCCTCACCAAGACTTTCTATTTCATATGAAATGGTTATTTTTTGCATGTGGTTGCTATTAATATTTGTAATAAACATAATTGGGATGTTTATAGTATTTCTCCAGTATCATCATGTCAAGTAGGCCTGTATGACACAGATTTTTTTGTACCAATGAAACCTCTGTTATTAGAGAGCTCAAACATTAGGTGTTTGATTCTTCCAAGTTAAAATACTGTATGTGCAAGATACTAGTTATTATCATAGTTTGGTACCAATAGGGCAAGCAACTACTTTCTGAAACTTAAGGTGGGCAGATTGGCATTTTGTGTCTGCTTGCCTGACAGAACAAGCTGCATGACAGGATAAGCATTGGGGTTTTTTTTTAATTTATTTACTTTATTTTTTGCTGAATCACCAGTTCTAACTTGGATAAATGAGTATACTGGTCTAGGATGTGAGTACAAATTTGACTTAAAATGGAACTATTTTTTGTTACCCTTCCAGCAAGCAACAAATATTACACTGAGTTTTTCAAAACTACTCAGCAATAGCATATTTGGTGTTTTAATTTATTTGTTATTAGCTTCAGAAGTCATTAAAAGAAAGAGTCTAAAATCAATACTTTCTAATGGTTAACCACAATACAAAACTTAGTGAAAGCCACCGAGTTTTCAAAGCAGTCAAATTTATTTCCTATAGAGTTGGCACTATGGCAAAGGTATTAACATATTTCATTACTGATACAAAGACATCAGCTGAAGTTTTGTTCTGAAACCTATCTTACTCTGTTGGGTGTGGATATATGGGAGCATATTTAACACTGATGGCCACAAACTCATGAGGATTTTTTTCTGGCTATGTAGTCTGCCACTGATAACTGAATGTGGCTTTGCTGTCTCCCTTCGTATCAGAGGTAGAAAACCCCCTTACTCAAATGCCTTGGTACTTAAATTTGAATATGCAGTGGGGAGGGGTGTATAAATTGAGTACTAAAAAATATTTTTAAAACATGCAGAGATAAGTGCTGTTGAATGTATATGTCTGCTTCAGTTGTACCAGCATCTGTAATGTTTGTAGTCACTGAAATAATCACGTATAAACATGTTTTATTTTTGTTGCTCTTTGACATGCTTAGTCTTTACCTTGGGATTTATGGGAGGTAAGAACTTCATACTGCTTTCATCTCTCATCATGTGCTGTGCATGTGCAGGTGCCATCTCTGTGCATATACTTGTCTCCTTTCCCTTGCTGCTTTTCCTTTCTGCACACCCCAAACCAAAGTGAACCCACTTTTGCACCTTCTGTGAAGCCCCAGGGACAGCCACATGTTTACAAGTTAGGTCTGGCACTCTGAAACTTATGTCTCCACCAGCTCCCAAACCCATTGCCTTTCCCTGCTAACGCACTGATCTTTCCTTTGGCATGATGCTGTGATGTTCTTCTCAAACTTAATCCCACTGTGGCATCATGCTCACCTTCTGCTCCCCAGTATTTCCTAAACTGTGTACATCTTGTTGGTCTTGTGTGCAGTACATAAATGTCTCAGCTGCCCCTCATCCTTACTGCCTCTACCATTGGGTATACATACACATTTGGAATTACCTGTGGTGTTCACTGTTCTTTGACCATCGTTGCCAGAAAGGCTGATGTGAAATAGTTCAGCCTGTGTCTACACTGCAAGTTAAATGCAGATCCAAGACTTACCTGGCATCTGCCTCAACCTCAGCTTTGGAGCTTGCTGACCAGAGAGATCCTACATGTGCTCTTCATCTGAACCAAAGCCAGACCCTCATTTATGCCCTCTAGATATATTTGGCCTGGGAAGGTCTCAGATTGCTTCAGATTAGCCCATTGGGAGATATTTCAAGCACAACTACTTTTGAGCCCCTCTGGACAAAGAGCCAGCAGTCTGGACAGAAAATGCTTGGTCTGGGTACTCAGGCCTGCTGCTTGAGCTGGCTGAGTCCCGTGGTGTAGATGTAAGCACACATCCTTGGCTTATGCTGGGGAATCAAGTCCTGTCAACCTTTCCGTTCTCAAGAGCCAGATCACAACCTAGAGTCAGTACTTGGGTGGACATGACTTAACCCTTGCTGAAAGCCTGGCCCAAGGACTCACTGTGGCCAGTGCTCTCCATCACATGAGCTTGGGTCACATCAAAAAAGATGTTTCCCTTGTGTGTTTTATCAGCCATCATATTTAACATCTGTCATTCCCCTGTACGTGCATTGTCAGTCTGTCTTAGTAAGAAAGAAAAGAAGTCTGTTTTTGCAAGGAGAGATCTCTTGCCTTTCAAGTGGATGGGCAGGGGTGAGGTATGACTGTATCTGATTGAGCTGTGCTTACAGTCTGGGGTATAAAAAGTGTTTTGGGCCATTTCTCCCATTCTGGAAACTGATTTTGCCCAAATGACAATTTAATCAACCAGGGAATGCTACTAGATAAGATGTTCTCACCTTGGCGTACCATACACAGTTAAAGAGCAGAGCTCCCTATAGCTGGGAAATTCTCTTCTTGCTCTTCAAGTCTTCTGAAGTGTTTTTGCTCTAATTTTGTTCTTAGCTGTTGATGAGAGGAGACTCTTTGCATGGTTACATAGTCCTATATGCTGTGAGGTTAACAATGGCGTAGAAACTTGGATGCAGGAGAACTTGCTTAGATCTGCAGACTAGGAAACTTGCATTTGGTGTGTATGAAGCTGCTGTCAGAATAAGCAAAGCTTTCAAATCTGGCAACAGCAGTGAGCAATTCTTCCTCTTCTCTCTATAGTATCTTTCCATGACTGTAAATGCTTTTATAGGTCTTGGGATGCCCACAGGTATGTAAAATAGAAAAATAAGTAGCTGACACGAAAACACCCTTTGCTGCCCTTTGTTGAAATCCAGGGGATTAATTTAGATTCAGTTTCTCTGGTTATTAAATACTGGTTTTGCAAATTAGCTGCTTTTAAAAAAAGGAGCTCACACTGAGCCCCTTTTCACTTGTCCACATAAAAACCATGCTTGGCTGGATGAAGTTGGGCTGGCATCTGTCCCAGTTCCAGTTTCACTGAATCCAAATAAAAAGCAACCTGGGAGTAAATCTAATTAAACAGGAAAAGCCTTTGTAGCATTTCAAATGCATATATTCACCTTAGCACTACCAAAGCTGCTGTGGGAATCCCCTGCAGGATGGGGACAGCTCTGCTGTTTATAATATCCTCTAGCAATATAGGCCTGTGGATGTGGTGAGGGGGAGACATGAGGCAGGATGGGATAGGAGAGGAAAGCATGTGTTAAATGGCACCATTGGAGCAGCTGAAGATAAAGTAATGGCTTTTTGTTAATTCAAGGATTTGTTTCTTTTTTACTAGAAAACTACTTGGAGCATTGTGCCGGTGCATGGCTAGTATCCAGATGAGTGTAGAGTTAAGGGTTGCCACGGTTGTTGCCTTACACTGGGCTTTTGTAGGTTTGGGACTATGAGAATTGCAACTTTAAGAAATCTGAACAATGCCTTGTTTTGAATGGGGTTGTATTCAGGGGTACATGTGTTTACGAAATGAATGAGGCGTGTAGACATGCTGAAGCTGGTTTATTTGCATGTGTTAAAAATGGGAAATCTGTATAGCAATCTGTATTGTACAAGTATAAAGTGGGTATCTGGTTAGATTCTACAAAGAGGTGTGTGTGCTATCTGGTATAGAGAACAAATGGATATAGACTGGCCATGAAGACACTCGGGCTGCAAATTAGACCCCTGAGATCTTTGTCAGAAGCCTTCCCAAATGCTGCCTGGCCAATCTCCCATGGGGCTGATCTGCAGCATTGATCCAACCAGATCCAATTTATTTCCTGTGTTGCTGCAGTTTTGGGGAGGGGCAAATGAATATCTTTAATTTTGTGTTAAAACAGAGTTAGCCTGACTTCAGGCAAGGGAGAATAAAAACTTGAACTGCTGGAAGTATATCAGAGGTCTTTCGTTGGTCTTTCATTGTGCACAGAAACCCCTGTACCCAGGCTTCCTAGAACAGTGTCTGCCAGGCAGTGATCTGTAGGTGATGCTGAGTGTTTCTCTCTGGTGGTGGCATCCTTTTGTGCATTAGAAACTCCCCACTCCACCAAAACAAATGTGTGCATGTGTGCACACACCATGCAGAATATCACAGCAAATTCTTACTAATAGAATATTCACAATAGAATCCAAATTCATGACTTTGGGCTTATCCAAAATCAAATCAGGTGAAAGTTAGCACAGTTTTCATTTCAGTTTGGTTCAGTGCTAATGTCATGTAGGTGCTGGGTCCAGACTAAGTTGCATATCTGGACACATTATTGCCATGCTCTTCTGTTTCTGGGAGTATGTAAAGGCTTAAATGTTTCTTGATTGTTGATCCTTAAAGTAGCCTATTGAGACATCCTTGTCCCTTGGCATGCAAGCAGACTTGCTATCACATATAAGTGGGCAGTCTAATAATAGATACTGTGCATGTGCAAAGTAGGTCTGCGATTTAGATCGTGAAAAGAAGAGAGGTGCACAGGATTTTTGGCGTTTCATTGATTTCCTCTGGAGTATTGCCTTCTGTGTGACTGGAGTGAGGGAATGCAGGCTTTACTGTGATTTCACTGGGTTGCAGATAAAGAGGGAGACAGAAACCTTTCAAGACCCTGAGGTTTCTCACACATTTGTCGGCAGATGGCAGCAGGTAACAGCACAGAGCACTTGGACAGACTGAGCTGCACTTTTCTGCACACACGTGTAGCTGTAAATGAGCATAACCCTCCACCCGGATGACTTTTGTATTGCAGCCTGCAGAAGCAGCCCATGCAGGAGCTGAAGCAGCTGGATCAGAAGCAGCAGCTGGAGCTGAAGCGTCTAAAACCGAAGCCGATTCAGGATCGGTAAGCACCTCGAGGGACAGCAGTCCCTTTTCTCCATCACATCCCTTTGTCATACAGCAGATGTGGGAGGCTGGGCTGGGAAAAGAGATGCATGGCTGCTTGGAAAAACACATCCCTGCCACCCCAGCAGTTACAATGCTGTTATTCAGAGGCCAGACTTAGCCATTGCATTTTATGTGTGTGATGCTTAGGGAGAAGCTCTGCTGGAAGATCCACAAAAAGAACTGTCCCTTCACCCATGTTGCAAAGCCAGCCAACAGCCCGTGCTCTGCTAAGCTTGTGTTGTCTGCTGGATTCCTCCTTTCTCACCATTTACTTTAGCTCCCCTGTCCTCTGGGCTCTGTCTGTGTCCCTTGAATATCCAGGGTTCCTCTTTTTTTTCCTGACACTGCCACCTTTTTAGAGGACTGGAATAGGTCCTGTCTCATGGCCGCTTGGTTCCTATAGGCTGTCACATTTGAGTTGTTTGTTCGATGGCTCTACAAGAACTGCATCATGACCACAGCAAATGGGAAATGATGGGCATTATGGTCCCAGAAAAACTCTAAATCCTCTCTACCCTTCTGCAGCCTTAAGCAAAGGAAGACAGCGGTCACCTCTTCTGCCTTCTCACTGCTGCCTCTGCTGTCCTTTGGGGTGTTTTTGTCACTGACTGGTGTGCTGGGAAAACCTGCTGAAGCTGTGGGTAGGGTTGGAATGTGGATCCTGCAGGGTGGACTTGGAGGTGCATTTTTGAATTCTTTTTTTCTCAATGGCTTTTTTCCTTCCCTGGCTGCTGCTGCCTGCCAGAGCTGTCTGCCTGCTGTTGTTGTGGAGACTTTCCCTGCTACTGTCAATGGCACTGTGGAAGGAGGCGCTTCATCTGAAAGAGCTGATATGCCCCCAGGATTTCTGTTCAAGGTGGGTGTGTGGTGGTGGGGCATAGAGTTCCTCATGATTTTTTTTTTTTTTTTCCTGGAATGAATTAACTACTTTTGCTCAGCAGGGCTGTGGGCTATGCTGCACTGAAAGGAGAAAGGAAGTTGAAGGATGGATACACCTTCCTCTCCAGCAGCCCAGCTTCCTGCCATTCCAGATGCTTTGAAGGACTGTATAAGAGCATGGGTGTCTGAAGATCTGGCTGTGCTGTATAGCAAAACCCCTCCTTCTCTCTGCTGCAGTTATCTCTGATGGTGTGGTAGTAACAGTCACAGACTCTGGACAGTAGATAAGAAGTTGTGCTCCAGACTGTAAAGGTTAACCTTTGATGCAAGTGACAAATGAGAAAGAGTTGGAAACACCGGTAGGGACAGAGGGCTTCATTTCTGGGGAGACTAGAAAGCCAGGATGAACAGGGAAAAATTCAGGATTAGGGAGGGAAGTCTGGTGGGTATTCTGAATATGCCGAAGATCACTCACAGCTTGTTTCGAAGGTGTAGAGGAAGGAATGATTCTGGGTGAGGATAGGCCACAAATTTAATGTGGATAATGGAATGTGGTAGCAAGACAGCACAGATGTATCATGCTCTGAAAGTGAGAAATTACACTCTCCTGCTATAGGAATGCTTTTCTTCTGCTTTAGTCAAGTCCACACGTAATTTTTTTTTTTTTTTTCTGGGAGGTCTACCAGAAGCAGAAGAATGACAAATCCCTGAAGAACAGTAGGAGGCTTATCACATTTAAACTGGTTACAGGCAGCATTATAGTGCTCAAAGTGGAGAGCCGTGGTTTGAAGTAGGAAAGCTGTAACGCAGATGTTGATAGGAATTAGGCTGAATACCAAAGAGAAAACGTGGTGGGTACAATCACAAAGATCCGAACTGATACTCTTCCCTACATTTCCTCTCTCTGCTTGCTGTGATAGAGATGGGGAGGCTATAACCTCTAATACTCTTGCAGTCCAGCTGCAAAAAGAATACAGGGCACCATTCAAGTGAATACAGGTTTTCTACCCTGTGAGGTTTTTACACCCATAGTATGGGAATTCAGCCCTTCTGCGGAAGGATGGGGAAGTGCTGATGCAAAACAACTTGAATGAGACTCACCTGAATGCCCCTGTGGCAAAGGCAAGCTGCACGCCAGGCTATATGAAGAAGCGTCTAGCCGTTAGATTGATGGAAGTGATTATTCCTGTAGATGTGGTATTTGCTATCCAAGCTTGCCATGCCTTGAGCAGCAGGTTGGATCAGATGGGCCTCCAAAGGTGTCTTCCAACCTGAACCATTCAGTGAATGAATGAAGGGGAAAGCCTTGTCACTTGTTACAGAGCTGGGTGAGAGATGTCTGGCCTCACCCAAGCTCGCCTCTCCTCTCCCCGTAGGTCCAGGCCATGCATGATTACACGGCCACCGACAGCGACGAGCTACAGCTGAAGGCTGGGGACGTGGTGCTTGTGATTCCATTTGAGAACCCTGAGGAGCAGGTGAGTGGAGAAGACAGGGTGCAAGCCTGGGCCGGGAGGAGCCAAGGGGATTTCCAGAGCTGCTGCTTCCTCCACTAACAGTCGTCTGGCTGGATGCAGAATCATCAGTTTGTGGCTGGGAGCTGGTGGGAGAGCTGGTTGTCCTTGAGCTTGGGATCGGCTTCCTGCAACAGAGGGGAGGACTCTGCTTGTGACCGGAAAGTGGAGACATTATCAAGCATAAAGCATGTGAAATAGCTGTGGCTTCCTGTCCCTGTCCGGGCATTTGAGCCAATACAGTGGCTTGCTTGAATGGGAGCTCAACAGAGCCTATACTTTGCCTCCTCATTGCTCCTAAACTTGATGCACATTCCCTGTGACCACTGCAGTGCAGACTGTGGCATTGGCAGGAGTGACCCACAGCTTATGGTGATGTTTTCTTCCCTTTTGAGAAATGCTGGAGCTCTGAGAAAGCAGCTTGCCGTGGATGATGTCTTGCATTTCAGCATAAAAATGGCTATTTTCAAAAAGCAGTGTTTGGTCAGGAGGTGGCAGCAGAACCAAAGGCTGGAGTAGGTTGCTCCATCCCAGAGAACAGCCTCACTGTCCATGTCCAACCTGAATTTAATTGGCAGTGTTTTTCTTTAATCTGAGCTATTTCTAGAAGTCTTGAGTAAGTCCTCCTTACTTGCTGTCTTTGAGGGCTGCCAGCTGATAAAGTCTGCAGCAGTTTTACTACTTTGACTGAGGGAGGTGGTGATTTTACAAAATCCATGGTCACTTCTCCAGGTTTTTGTTTGGAAAAGAAAGGGAATTTTCCAAATTGAATCAATAGTCACCAGCTCTTTGGGTTTGGCCAAGCTGACAAGATCTGGATTCCACAAATGGTAAAGGGAAGGTGATGTAGTTCATTGGCCGCCGATGATGTGGATCCTCTTTGTGGCTCAGCTATTGGCTTTGTGGATTATAGAGGCAGATCTTGCTGCTGCTTGTGAAATGGGAGCTATGATGTGCTAGCAGTTCCCACAGAGCTAGGTGCTCTCCGGGGAAGGGTTGTATGGGGAAGAGGCAATGATTCCTTCTGGAGACAAGACTCTTTGCTGAGTGGGACTGCCCTGCACAAGCATTTGTGAGCATTTATTTCTCAGAAAAATTTCCGGATGGGAAATGAGTGGCAGCTCCCCTAGTTTCTGTGGTATGAGACGGCATTTGTGGAGCAGAGTTTTTCAATGCCCTATGTTTGCACTCTAGCTGGATGTGGGTGCAACAGCCATGAACTCGAGACTCTCCAGGCTCCAGAGGGTGAGCTCTGAGTGTTGCTAACGTGATGCTGTAGCTGCACTGAAGCCCTCTAACCCTCCCACAGTGTATCCTGTGCTACAGCTCATTTCCCTAACCTCGACCATACCCAGCCAGAAAATGTTGGCTGTTAACATGTGCATGAACTGTGCACGTGAGTGGAGGAGGCTTAGGATAATAGGCTGTGATCCATATCCCCATCTTGCAGCTTAGGTCTCAGTTTGTGGGTACATCAGCCAGGCCTGGATTCATCCCTCTTGATAGCAGAAAGGGTTGAGGGCAGCAACATTTCTAAGCTGGCACTTCAAGTGACGTGGTTCAAAATGGGCCAAGGTCAATCTGGGTTCTCCTGTCTGATTCCTATAGCTGAGGAGACCCTTTGTAGCAGCATGCAGTGGGAGTGATGCATGCTGTGTGGCGCAGACGCGATGGGCAAACAGACGAGCTTTTGTGCTTGCTGTGCTGTGAGCTGGAAGCTGCCTTCCAGACACTTGGGCCCGACGTCTTCTGCCTAGTCATTTGTCTTCCTGATTTATGGCATGTCTGTCCTTCCATAGCCCCTGCAGCCGACTGCTGCAGATGGGCTCTTGTCTCAAGCCGTTCCCATGATGGCCCCTGAATGCTCAAATCTAAGGCAGCAGCAAGGGCTAACTGAGCCTGCAGGCACCCAGTACAGTCTGCAAGGAGCAGGGAACTCTGGGAGCTCAGCTGGGCTGAGCTGCTGCCACGTGAAACGTGCAGAAAACAGGACAAGAGGGCAGAAGCTGCAAAATGGTAGCGGAAAGTGATATGTGTTCCGTGGATCACCCCTGGTGAGGGCTGCATCACTCCTGCGTCGTGCAGGTACATTTTTAAAGAACATGCTTCAAGGGAGGTGTTGCTTGGCTTTGGGTAAATGCTGAGGTAACTCCTGCCAGTTCCAGGAAAGCAGAAGTGTCAGAACAACTGTGTGAACCACATGCATGCATGCCCCATTTCTCCACAGCTTGGAGCATCTGATTGCCTGAGCATTTCTGCCCTGGTAAATTATGTAGTTGAATGTGATAATACATCTTTAAAGGACCCTGGTGCATGCCTTGCCCAGAGGACTGGATGCAGAGCAGATTGTTGAGTTTGGAGGCAGCGGTCACCCATGCAGCTCTCTTGCCTCATACTGCAGTCTTAACCTATAGGCTGCCCCACTGCAAATGCCTCACGTGAGTGGGTGTATTTTCATGCTGAAGGGGTGCTTCCATGGTGGCAGCTCTAAGGCATGCAGAGAATAGGGTGGTTGCACACCTGAGCTGCAAGCGATGCAGCCTTCCCACCTAGAATATCTCATTTCCCTCACGTGCTTTGGATGGAGCAGAAATCTCCATGCTAGACACCCTGGAGGCGGAGGGTGGGAAGTCTGGTTCTCCTCCTGAGCAGGCTCTACCAAGCAGGACTCCGTTTGCCTTAGTGAAAATTCATCCCTATTTGTAGATGTATAGGTTTGGTGGCTAGGGAGGACTCTTGTGAGAGACCTTGAGTTTTACATCATGTGTAGCACAAGTTTGGGAGGTTTGCCAGCCTCACCTTGTATCAAGCCCAACAGACTGCTGAGTTTTGGAAAGGCAGATTGAGCTCCTTAGGTCCCAGTTCTCATAGACCAGAATTTCAGCATAGCAACCAAGACTCATTTTGCCTCTACCACCTTTCTAAAGTGCTAATCATCCAGGTGCCCTGACAGGAGCAGGGGATGGGCACCTCCAGGGAATGATTCATCCTTTCCAAAGACCTGTGCCCAAGATGAATTGGCACTGTGGAGGTGCCATCCCTTTTATGACTATGGAGAATGCTAGACCCCTCATGTTTAGATTGTGAAAGCTGAGGTAGGTGATTCCCATCTTGTAGCTCCAGAGACTTTCTTTGGCAGAATTTCTCCTGCTTTAGTGCGTGTAAATGACGACAAGTTTCTATTACACTTGCTCATTGTTTACATTTTCACTGTCTGTGGACACCCTGGGTCAGATAGAAGTTTTGATACTGACTCTGGTGGGGTGTGGCCTTCTCCCTGTTTAAAAGGGAACGAAAGCATTTTTTCCTTCTCCCCATCCTCTTCCTGGATTGTCTTCAAGCCAAATACAAGCATGGCTTTGATAATGCCTTGACACCTCCTTGGCCTGCACTCTGTAAGAAAAATCCCTGCTCACATCTATCCCTCAGCATCTGATTTCTGTCTTCTCCTCCAGGATGAAGGATGGTTGATGGGCGTGAAGGAATCTGACTGGATCCAGCATAAGGAACTTGACCAATGCCGAGGGGTTTTCCCAGAGAATTTCACAGAGCGGGTGCAGTGAAAGCCCAAGCCCACCAGCTGCATTTCTGCTGGAAGAAAGAAAGTTTTCTGGTAGATAATTGAAAAAGAACAGCGAAATGAAAAGAAGAGAGAATTTTAAAGGAATGGAAGCCTGGGAAAAAGTCAACTGAAAGGGTGTGTTCTTCTCAAAGGGCAAGATTTCAGAAGTAAATTGAAATTCAAAGTGTTATAAAAATATATACATATTAATAATAATAAGGCAAGTCAAATACCCTCTTCCCCCTTTGGTTTTAACAGCATTGGATTCAGAGGACTGATGCAGAAGCAACTCAGTGTGGTTCTCTAAATACTGCATTGACTGAATTGGCGAGATGTCAGTCTGATCCCTGGAAAGGCAATATTTGTCTAATGGCTTGGAAGTAGAAGCTGCATTTGCTCCTGGGTGGGTTCATCTGTTTTGTCTTGAAGGTGGCTTGCATGGCAACTGTAAAAATTCAGCCTTCCCTACATGTTCAACCTACAGTAGGCCAAACTTTCTGTTATGCTATTGAAAAAAATATTTAGTGTATAGTGTTCACCAATACAATGTATGTGTGTGTGTGCGTGTATTTTATTTTTTTCCTTTAAAGCAATGTTACAAAAGCTGTGATTTTCTACATGTAAAGGTAGAAGAAACTATGTGGAAAGGGCATGGAGAAGATGAAATGTGTGAAGCTGTGGTCAGTCCAAAGTTCTTTCAAATGCAGATACCTAAATTCTCGGCAGTGGTATTGGCCTGTGAAATGCTAAGGGGAATGGACAAGTTCAAGAGGAGAAATGAGACAGAAGAAGTCGATGCCATTTGGATGGCTCTGAAATTTAGGAGAGGGAATCCTCTGCCCCCAAAACATTGTAAGCGGTTTTAGGAAAGCTTAGATTCATGTAGATGAAAGATAGCTCTAAAATCTGGCTCATTAGAAAACTTGCTTTTAGAGAAAGAGATAAGGGAAGAAAAATTTTTTTCTGAAAGAATGTCTAAACAAAACCAGTTTGCTTTCCGTGGTTTTAATTGGCATTGTTCTTTGTGGAATTGTATTTCTTATTTTCCTTTGAAGAGTTCTGTAAGTGAAATATTGTTAGATCAGCTTTCTCCAGTGCTGTGCTGGTGACCAAGTTAACCTCTACGAAAACTGGACTCTTGAAATACTCATTTAAAATGGCTGCATGACTTCACAATATTTTAATGCATTAGAAAGGAAGGCAAGAATATCAAAGTATCAGTGTCAAGAAGACACTCTGCAGTCTAACACTGATGCTGAGAGCTTTCCTATACCTTTCCTTTGCTCCTGTTTGGTTTTGAGTTTTGTTTTTTTAGTAGCAGATGACAAGGCTGTTTCAAAGTGCTTATTACACTCATTAAAATAAGCCCGTCTGACCCTCCAAGACTCTAAAGTCCCACAAAGGTACTTTAAACTTTACTTGAATACTGATGCAGCTGTCAAACGGGTCGGGCTGTTGTCATTTTCTATGGCTTCCCCCCATCCCCATGATCTTTTTACCTTGAAGGGATTTTTAACAGTGAGGTTACCTCCTGCTGTAAAGGGACAGGATCACTTCCTGAAATAATCTTCCTAACTGTTAGGAGCTGGCTTTTGTCAAAGATGCACGGAATGCTGCCACACACTACTGAAAACCCCACCTTTTCCAATCTGTTTTGATTATTTGTAGGACAACGGAAAAAAAAACATTGTAGGGCAAAAGTGGATATTTTTAAAAAAAGTTTTAGTTCAGAGGGACAGATCAGATTTTGATTAGAAAATATATTCTTATGAATGCAAGAATTGCTGCAGTTCCTCCTCCTTTCAGCTTGGGAGATGATCTGTGCTAGTTATTTACAGCAATGTAATAGGCATCAAAATCTGTCCTATATACCCAAATCCCTTATTTTTTTTTTTTTTTTTTAAAAAAAACCAACAAACATGCAGGGATTGGTAGTTTATGTCACTGTTACAAAACCAAATAGTATTTAGGAGTAACGGCTCACAAAACAGAAGGACTGGACTCCACAAGTTAAGAGTATGGTGAGCTGTTGCTTTAGAATACTGCCCTGTTTGAATTTTGTTTTTCTTTTTCACCAGGGTTGTCTTTAATATTACTCTGTTTTTTTCCCCAAATATCTATTTTTATGCATTTGTGACTCCCATTACTCTTTTAAAGAATATTCATAGAAAAAAATATACATTTAAATATACATAGAAATATATATATTAAAAAAGCAGTTTGATCCAATTAACATAATGCTGCCAGCTTAAAATGTTTATTTTTATGCAAAACCTGTGGATTTTTTTTTAATGACAAAATTCTAAGTACCAGAGCTGTGATTTTTGTCTTGCAAGTAATTGTTCTAGAGCATTTAGAAAGCTATGCTGATACCTAATTTATTGTGGGGTTTTTTTTGCTGTTGTTGTTGTTGTCTTCTGCTGTGTTTGAACCAGATGACTGTCCCAACAAAGATCCTTGTAAGGCCTTTGCATTTTATTGAGCTTGCAGAGCAACTATCCAGTACTGTATTGTCCCTGCAGAAGTGGTAACACTCTGCGAAAAAGGGATGTTGTTTTCAGGTCACGTGAGTGATGCTCAAATATTGCTAGTGGGGAGGATGCTGTGTGTCTCTCCATTTGCTTCTCCCCACCCCAAAAATCCCAACCCCCAAACCCGCTTGCTTAGAAACAGGTAGGGTGGGTTACCTGGATCTTGCATTGCTCACAAATAAGTGGTGTCAGCCCGTCTCAGTCAGATTCTGAAAATGCAGGATTGGACCCACAGTTTATAAACTGCCTTATATGAGAGTAGGATGGCATAGCAGGAATCTTGTGGATGGCAATGCTTTCTGGAGCCAGGAGACCTCTGATTTCCTGGGTCATGTTCAGCCCATTGTAAACAGCCACAGCTCCTCCCATTTACAGTATTTTTACATCCACTAAATACCTTGATTCTAGTTGGTATTATCTGGTGAAATGAACTTCCCATTTTCTTTGGCTTAGGACTTATTCAAATAGAAAGAGGGACAGTAAACTCCCAAGTAGGCTGTGCCCACAGTGGTTTTTCAGTTTGCAGGCTGAACTGAAAAATCTGGGGAAAAAAGTTGTAAGGGTGATCTAAACTTATAAGGGTGACTTGAGACTTTTTTTTTTTTCATTTTCTCAGTGGAATGAAAAAGGGAAAAATCGAAACATAAAAAAGGAAATCCTTTCAAACAAATGAAGCATTCATTTGTAAGGTTGCTTTTTCACTTTTTTAAAAAACATTATGACTTGGGCTATAACAAGTTGCTTTGAAGCAAAAATGTGAAACCTTCTGTTTTGAAAATGCTGAAAGAAAATGTTTTAATGTTAGTAGTCTTTTTGCCTTTGCCTTTGTTTCTTAATCTGATGACTGTTTTCAGTTAACCCTAAACTGCATTTTTTGGTGAATACATTATCCACTGAAGAGAACCCAGAGAAGCCTATTGCCCAGTTCTGCTCCACTGACAGGTACACTGGACACATTTCAGGGATTATGTGATAATCGGGCCCAGCAAAGCTGCTGTTTCCCCACCTGATAATCTTCCACTTGATTGTTTTACTGGGTGAGCAATAAAAGCATCTCTCATCCCATGACTTTGATTGGTTTTGTAGCCTGGCTCAGGAAGGCATTCTTGCTCTATCGGTCTCCGTTTGGTCACAGATTTATGACTATAGATTTACGATGCTACTCCAGTTTAAGCCTAATCCCATCGTGCAGTAGCAATTCTCATTTGCCTAGCTGCTAAGAAAGAAATAAGGCATTGCTTTTTCTCCCTTTTTCTATCTTAGCAATGCCAGTAATATATCTTTATTAGGTAGAATTAGGGAAAGGTCCCAGGGTAAAGATGAATGTGTTGTTCCAGGCAAGACTCCTGCATATACCCTGTGCTACTTTCCATGGGCATTCCTCAACTGTCTGCCTTTACCACCTTTGTGTTTCTTGGCTGTGAAGGTGATGAAGTAAAAGGGTTTGTGCAGGCTTCATTCCAGCTGCTCAGAGCTAGTCCTGCTTTGTGATCTGTTTGCCACAGTCTTTGAAGCTTTGTTCACAGTTACAGAACCCTTTCCTGTCCCACTATACAAAGACCGTGGCTAAGGCAAACACCCCCACATGAAAGGGGTCTCTCTTTTATGACCTGGAACGGGTGTGAGGCTCCATATTCTGCCTGGAACTGGGATGTCAGCGCAGTTAAATTTTGCAACAGCCTGTTGAAGGGAAAAGGCCCAAGGCTAAGGAGATGCTGAGGAAGGATGGAGGGATCATACATTATGTCAAGAGGATGGGCCCAGGCTCCTTTCAGTGGTGCCCAGTGACAGGACAAGGGGCAATGGACACAAACTGGAGCACAGGAAGTTCTGCCTCAACATGAGGAAAGATCTTTTTGCTGTGAGGGTGACAGAGCACTGGAACAGGCTGCCCAGGGAGGTTGTGGAGTCTCCTTCTCTGCAGATACTCAAAACCCACCTGGACATGATCCTGTGTAACCTGCTGTAGGTGAACCTGCTTTAGCATCTGATTTCCAGAGGTGCCTTCCAACCCCTGCCATTTTGTGATTATCTTTTTCATTTTGGGCTGATGTGCTGACTGCCTTGCCTCTTGGTTCCAGGGAGGTCCAGAACCTCTTTATTTAGGGCTCAGAACAAAATGTGAGTGGTCAAGATACGCATGGTCAATACAATAACAGGTGTATCTCTCCAGCAAATGACACTGCGTTCAGTTTCCTCTTTCCTGCTCTGTGCCAGACAGATTGAATGCTCTCTGCCACTGTTGTAGAAGTTTTGGATGCTGTGCAGTCCATAGTCCAAAACAGTGAATGTCTGTTGCTGGAGGATGCAGAGCTGTGTCTGTGCCCTTTCTATGAAGAGCTACTGATCTTCCACAGACAAGGCCTGTGTGCTTCTAACACAGTAGCCTCTGATTTCAGTAGCCTCTATGTCTTTCAGCATCTGGCCCCACTCTCCAGTTGCTTCCCAGCCTCTCCCATGCTCTTTGAGGATGACAGGAGCATAGGGCACTTCCCACCAGCCTAAAAGTGCAAAGCTGGAGCATGTCCATCAGCAAATCCTACGCAGTGCAGCTTGATAATGCTGATATCAGGAAAACAAGCAACAGCTTTTATTCTCTGGACTGCCAAAGGGAAGCTATTTCTTGCCACACAGGTACCATCATGCCTGGCACTGGTGCAGACACCTCTCTGCTTGCATGGTCTGGTTTAGACATTTCTGAGTAGCAAACTCCTGACAGAGAGGGGTCCTGCATGGTGCCCAGAGCTGGATTGTGCCACCAGCCCTTATGAAGCTTGAGGTCTGTAGATGACACATGGGGGCTGAGAATTAGAAGACCATTTCAGAAGTCTTGTTTATGAAA